TTACTATAATTAATCACAGGATGAAACAGGCACCCGAACATGAGGACAATGGGCGCGTGCCTCTGCCCTTCTTGAGAGGCCAGTGTGACGCCGTGTCCCGGCGCGACCAGAGAAAGACAATACAACACATTACAACCGAGTCATTTGTTGCATCCAGTGGGGATATAATTACTGATTATAATGATTTATATTGTCTTTTTATGCGTCGCGCGGGCGCTTGGCAGACTATGCTATGTAAACAAAAATCATGTCTGCATTTGTGATAGTACAAACAACAAACAACCAGCGCTAACTTACTTTACACTGCTCAGACTCGCGTTTGTATAGTCAATTAAATAAGGAAACATACTTACAGGCTGTGAGTCATAAGCGCCAGACTGTCCTTGTAAAGTTGGAACTGCCCCACTTTTGAGGAAAAGCCTTTTTGCACAGCGGGCCTCATACTCTCCCAGGTTCAGAAAACAATCCTCCGTAAAGTGCGCAGCACAAACTCGAATATTTGTGTTGTACTGCTCTGGGACAGTGTTGTAAATAAACCTCAGCCACATATTTCTTGTTATGTCCTCTTTTGGAAGGCCAAACAAAGTACTTTTTCTTTCGCAGCAAACCACACAGTGTCTCCATGACATGGCGGCGTTTTATATGGTTTAATACTACAGCGAGAATAAAAGTTACGTCTTCTTTCTTTGCGTGAACATTTGGGTGGCATTATGCTAATATTTCCACATAGTGACGTAGATATGTGGGGGCATGTTAGAACGAGCCGTTTTAGGTAGGAGTGGTTAACTCTTAACTTTTATAAAGAATATCTCTTTGGATTTGAGACTTTAGTCTTTGCAACTTTACAGATCTTCTTTATGCACCAAGAGCTTGTAACACTCCAAAGAGAAAGGAGAAATTGAAATCGCATCATATGACCCCTTTAAGAAACATTTATTATTATCAATGTGGTGCAGTTAAAAAAACAGCATTTATTTGAAATACATATTTTTTTTGTATCATTTTGGATGTCTTAACTTTTAATTAATTAGATGCCTCCTTTCTGAATAAAATTATTAGTTTAGCGCACACACATTAGTAAATAAAAAATTTACTGACCCCAAACTTTGGACGATATTGTATTTCACTAATATCATCATGTAACAGTAGATGTTTGCCTTTTTTAGCGCTCTTAAAGGGATAGTTCACCCAAAAATGAAGATGATTTACTGACCCTCAAGTTTTTGCAAACCTGTGTGCATTTCTTTCTTCTCGTGAACACAAAAGATGATATTTTGAAGAATGTTGGTAACCAAACAGTTACTGGTAGCCATTGACTTCCATATAATTTTTTTTCCTCCATACTATAGAAGTCAGTGGGGTCTATAAACTGTTTGGTTACCCATATTCTTCAAAATGTCTTCTTTTATGTTCAACAGAACAAAAAAATAAACTCATACAGGTTTGGAATAACATGAGAGTAAATGATGGCACAATTTTAATTTCTAAGTAAACTATCCCTATAAATCCATTTATGGATTTATACTTTTTTCTCTCTGCTGCCTTTACTTCAAAGCTCAGCATAGACACTAGAGAAGGATTTGGGACTTTGTGTTTTTCTGTGGACATTAGTGTGAATCAGCGTTGTCCTGATTCACTGAATCAATTCTCACGGGGAGATGTGAATCCAGTTGTATTTCAGATACACATATGACGTCTAATGAACACATTAAATGCAATGAATACTGTCACCTTGAGGCTCTGGTCCTTAGGCGGTAATAAAAGCAGCTTTAGTGCATGTGCTCTCCTCTGTACTTAGTGTACAGATTGAAGGGGCAATGTAACACAGATTTACCGCACCCTTCATGCTGAAACAAGCTCTCTGCATACCCTGGCTGTGATAATGTGCAATTTAAACCTCTTGTGTTATTATTTCCCCACAATCACAGTCTTCCTGTGTGGCTTGAACACTACAAACTGTTCTAGTGCTTCTAACATTACCAGATTATAGAGAACGGGCCAGGTGACAGGCTGCAATTACACCTGGCCATTAGCCTGGTGTCTGGATGCAAATATCACTTAGATAGTCATTAATAAACGTCTGACAAAATCCAGGCATCAAAAACGTGATGTCAAATTCACTGTTTTGCTCACTTTTACTGCACTCGTTTGGGTGCTATTGTAAATCTGACATTTTGAATGTGAAGTCCTTAACACTGACAACTGAAAAAAGGAATCCCCTGTGTGCTTTGATAAATGTCTCTTAAACTAGAGCATCTCCTGCACAATGGATGATATCATGAGCATTGAGGGAAGTGAGATTGCTATTGGAGGGCTATATAGATCTTGAAGTGCACTAACATGTTTGAACCAGATCCCTCACGGAAAGAGGCTCTCATGATACTGCTGTTGGATCTGATTTCCCAGGTCTCAAAGTGGTTGTTTTCACAGTCCAATCAGGACTGACGGGTTAAAGACATCGCCCCAGGCTGCTTTATATATGAACACATACAGGTTGAGCTAATATGATCTCTTGGCAATGTAACACAGATTTACCGCACCCTTCATGCTGAAACAAGCTCTCTGCATACCCTGGCTGTGATAATGTGCAATTTAAACCTCTTGTGTTATTATTTCCCCACAATCACAGTCTTCCTGTGTGGCTTGAACACTACAAACTGTTCTAGTGCTTCTAACATTACCAGATTATAGAGAACGGGCCAGGTGACAGGCTGCAATTACACCTGGCCATTAGCCTGGTGTCTGGATGCAAATATCACTTAGATAGTCATTAATAAACGTCTGACAAAATCCAGGCATCAAAAACGTGATGTCAAATTCACTGTTTTGCTCACTTTTACTGCACTCGTTTGGGTGCTATTGTAAATCTGACATTTTGAATGTGAAGTCCTTAACACTGACAACTGAAAAAAGGAATCCCCTGTGTGCTTTGATAAATGTCTCTTAAACTAGAGCATCTCCTGCACAATGGATGATATCATGAGCATTGAGGGAAGTGAGATTGCTATTGGAGGGCTATATAGATCTTGAAGTGCACTAACATGTTTGAACCAGATCCCTCACGGAAAGAGGCTCTCATGATACTGCTGTTGGATCTGATTTCCCAGGTCTCAAAGTGGTTGTTTTCACAGTCCAATCAGGACTGACGGGTTAAAGACATCGCCCCAGGCTGCTTTATATATGAACACATACAGGTTGAGCTAATATGATCTCTTTCCTCTGTTCATGACAGCACTTTGATAATGGAGGGACAGGTTTGTCACATTACATCATATGTATCACGCTGAAATGAATATGCTCTTTAGAGATAAGACGCTGACATATGACTGACATTGTGGTTACAGCATCTGTAAAGCTATTGAGATTTCTGTAAAGCAAATAATCATCTGAAATAAGATGGGAATGCTATAAATCATGTCACTTGTTAAAGTTTGTCTATACCCTTACCAAAAAGAAGTATATTTTAAGTTTATTTTATTAAGTATACTTAAGTAAAGT